AAGTGCGGGCCTACCCAAATCAAGTGCGGGCCTACCCAAATCAAGTGCGGGCCTACCCAAATCAAGTGCGGGCCTACCCAAATCAAGTGCGGGCCTACCCAAGTACGGAGCGGGCCTACCCAAGTACGGAGCGGGCCTACCCAAGTACGGAGCGGGCCTACCCAAGTACCACCCACGTACCGAGCGACGTACCGAGCGACCTACCGAGCGACGTATCGAGCGACCTACCGAGCGACGTACCGAGCGACCTACCGAGCGACGTACCGAGCGACCTACCGAACGAACTACCTACCGAACTACCGAAATTCATGTCACGTCTTCCTACCCCAACGAGCTACCTACCGAAATTCATGTCACGTCTTCCCTACCCCAAGAGCTATCTACCAAGCAAAATTCATGTCACGTCTTCCCTACCCCAAGAGCTATCTACCAAGCAAAATTCATGTCACGTCTTCCCTACCCCAAAAGCTATCTACCAAGCAAAATTCATGTCACGTAGCATGTCCAGATCGCGAGATATCAAAACCGGAAGTTCTGCTGCAGTACCTAGGAAAGCCGCCAGGGGGCTCAAAATCTAATCATTCCTAGCTCTTATGAAGACCTACCCACCTACCAAGTTTCATGGCAATGCATATTAAGCTTCTTGAGTTATGCTGTTCACAAACAGAGAATATACGGTTCGCCTCACTTTACCCTCTAGCGGACCAACTCCGGATCCCCTGCACTGGCATGTTTTCTTTTTATCTGGTCAATTTCTACTCTTTCCTGGGGGGCCCGCAAGCCCTTTTCTGTAGAGCATATTCGCCGTTTTAATTCTACGTAATGCGTTATAGCCACTTGGAATTTATCGTAAAGCGTATTAAAAAATCGAGAAGTTTCCGAATTCAGCATAGATCGTTGTCGGGACCCCCCTTGCAGGCCCCCTTTCCTGAGCTGTCTCCTGAAGTCTGGTAGAGGTTATACAGCTAGAACTTAATGTGTAGACTCAGACGTGCCCCTCTGGGCAAAACCTACAATTGAAGTTGACGGCTGCAAATTAGAGGTAGGAGATCGGGTCGCGCAGTTGGCTGACCTGTAGGCAAGGCTAGCTTCCGCTGAGTTGACACACCGAGCCTCGGGTCATCCCACAAGTGTATAGTATGTCGTAGGAAAAATGTTCACCCCACACAGAAGTCCTCACACAGAAGGAAAAGGTGTCATTTAATGGATATGACCAGAGCTATGGGATATGACAATTAGATTAGATCAGGATAGGTTGAAAGTGAGCTATAATTAACGTTTTGATCAGATACTTCAATTATGTTCCTTGGTTGGGTGGAGGACAGGGGATTTCAGACAGATGGAGAGTCGCAAGCGACGGCATTGTTAAGTTCAAGCAGCCTGAAAGGCAGGTCGTAAAAACGTTTACAAACGCCTATACAGTCACTGTATAATGGTACTGGTAAGCTTGAAAAAAACTTACAATTTCCATAATGAACTTGAAATCAGGAAGTGTACTCATACCAAAACTTCATGCCACTTATCCCACCTACTAACCCCTGTACTTGAGGACAATCTGTCGTCCCTAGGCTCGGCCTCGACAAGATCCTCAAGACCAACCTACTAATACCAAAGCCTCACCATCTCATCATAAAAAAAAACAACACTTTAAAGTTCCGCCGCATTAGGTCCGCCAAGTTTCCTTCCCGTCATGCTAAGAAAATTACGTCAAGTGCTAAACACAATCAGACTCGCCTTTATTACGTCAAAGCCATCGCCTCTATACACTTCTGCCAAAATGAACACACAACCAGGTTAGGCTTTCAGTTACTGCTCTTTCCAAACATACCGCTAGGTGTCGTCCTTACACTGTAGGCCTGTGACAGGTCCCACAATGCACCTCACTCAACTTTGACCTGCCCCATTGCATGACGGGAAACAAAATGGCGGCGCCCATAAAATCCAGGTAAAATAGAACAGGTTTTGCTATCGCAAACCTGTAAAAAAATAACGCCGACGCCAACAAGACTGCGAAGGAGGCTAGGGCCAGCAATTGGCCGCCGCCATTGATGTAATCGCGAAAATCTTGAGACTCTTGTGTCTCTTTAGGTGCACTTAACATGTGGTATTAAACTGCGTAGCCCTTTTTTTAACTCAATTCCATTGGCTCTGGTGTCCTATAATGTCCAGCTAGGTTCAGGTTCCAATATTAATTCCATGGTTCAGGTTAACAAAGTATAAGATAATACTCCAGAGAGAAGTGTTATGTTTCTCAAAAAGCGCATTATGATTATGGACATAGTCTAATTGGGATCAGGAAGTGTGTGTGTTGTGTTTGTGAGTGTGTCATGGTATGTGCCCCCCTAGCCTGTGTGTGCACGTGTGTGTGTATTTGTGAGTGTGTGTAGGTGTGTGAGTTCGTGTGTGTGTGTGTGTGGTTCTGCTGTTTGTGTTTGTGAGTGAGTGTGTGAGATTCATACAGTATCATGTGTATCCGAATCGGATTCTAGCTTTCCTCCAACAGGCTGCTAATTTGGCCCCCTGCCCTTGAACCCTCTCTCTCTGACCTTTGGTTTCTAGTTTCAAGTTGACCTTCCAAGACAGATCTACATACAACAAGACATCGTACAGACATGGCGGCCCAACGCCGTACCGTAACGGTTATCACGGTAAGTTGATAAGTTTACTACATTTGTACCTACTGACGCGGCTCTCGGATTTCGTTGGATTCTCAATTACAGCAAAACTGGGTCAGTCAGAACATAAACCACACCCGACTAGCACAGACATGCAAGGTCACGCCTTTGCGGTCTCCTACAAGGAACGCAGTGAAGAGAAGGGGAATTGGTTACGTTTATATACAGTACCGTTCGCGTTATAGTTAACCGGGTACCCCGTTACTAACGAGTTATTTTTTCGTCAGAAAATGGTTAGAAAATCGTCAGTATTTGGTTAGATTTTCGTCAGAAAATGGTTAGAAAATCGTCAGAAATTATTTCTAACGCGTTACCGTTTGCGTTAATGTGATAGGGTCGGATTTCATGTTTGTTTTGCGCGCCGACAAGACAATAGCAATTTGCCACCTCCTGGGGCGTCCGCTAATGTGTTGCGATGTTGCCCCTTGAAAAATAACAACACCAGAGGCAATGGACATGTGATTCGTAAAATAACTTTGTGGTTTATCCATGTGTCGACTGTGTGAAGCGAATTGTGCTATCTTTTAATGCTATTCTATAGTTATTTCTAGCGGAAAATTACGTTGTGTAATACAATGTATGTCAACAAAGTGTAGCAGTGGGCAGACGATGTCTTGTACATTTTGTACCAGCGGCGGCCTACCGCTCTCACAGGACGTCATGGGACGTGACGAAACAAGAAATATCTGCCGTAGAAGAAATATAAATCGGTAACTCATGCCTTAAATTCACGGCGGTTTTTGACACAAAAGAAAAATTATTATAATTTTTGTAAGGCGCGCGGCTTACTAGTACTAGCGGCTTTAATACTCACGGTAAAATGTACCGTCACTCCCGGCGCAAGGACTCGATTCGCCAGCTGAGGACTTTCCACAACCATGATGATATCATAGGTAATAAAGGAATATATAATAGATATATCATGTGGAAATGATAATTGTAATACATGGTTCTATTTAATAGCGGTAGTTTCGTTTCTTATTTTGAGGGGGGAAACTGTCAAAAATCGAGGGAACGCAAACTGAGATCGGCTCACTTCCGGGTGCATAACGCCAAAATTTCTCGACGATTATATAAAAATGACCACTCATTTGCCGCCTACGGTAGCGTGTACATGGTAGTGCGATCATATCGTGCCAAAGTCAGCGTCAAACGTCAGAAAATCCCCGTAAAAATATAGTTGCAAAACACATTTCCCGCGCACTCAGGGCCGGTCGCCCTGGCCGCTGCAGCATGCTCATTATAATATGCAAGTAGCTGCGCTCTGATTGGTTCACCTTAGATGACCTGCGCTGTGATTGGCTAGAACGAAGCCCGTTGCATGCTGGGGCGCCCTTCCCCGCGCGAAATGATCTCGAGAGAGCCACATTTACGCTGGTTTCTACCTTATTTCTACGACTAATTAGCAACATCCTAGTGACGAAATGCGTACTCAAAAGAATTTTCGGGAAAAAAATATATGTACATGTGGATTTGTGGTGCCTTTGGCGTAATTTTGTTGGTCACATACAACGTAATGTAACACGGAAGTGCATGGAGTCGGAGTGGCGGCACGGCTTTCCGTCCCACTCTAAACAAAACTCCAAGGACATAACAAAACTCCCCAAAAACTGGTCAATAATTAGCCATAAAAATGTTGGTGGGCACGTGTAAATATGCTGCCTTTTTTCGAGTGTTATAGGAATTTTCCACGATGTTTTTGCACATCCCTAACGTTACCTCACGCCCGCCGCCTATTATGTACGGCGGACCGGGGCATTTATAACTTCAGATCATCTACATTGTAGGTTTGCTTATTCGGTGGTAAAATAAGTTAACAGAGAAAAACAGCAAACCAAAGTTGACAAACTATAGAAACGCTTGCCTGGGCAACAGTGACAAAAGAAAATGTCTATCTAATTGAATTGCGCCGGTGATCGTAAAACGTTTTAAACGTTACAATATAGTAAAATGCAGGCTAGATCAACGTTCCTTCCGCTGTTCCAGCGGTGTGTATCGGTAATTTCCCGCCCCGCATGAGGTAAATTAGTACTCCTCCCATTATTCTGTGATGTTACCGCGGCCTGCATATGAATGCAGAAGTCTAACGGAAAAGTAACGGAAAAGTAACGGAAAACTTACGCGAAAGTTACGGAAAACTTACGGAAAAGTAACGGAAAAGTAACGGAAAAAAAACGCGTTAGTAACGGCCGTTAGGGTAACTATAACGCGAACGGTACTGTATAATAGCCCTCACAGAGCCTGGGTGGCAGACCCCAGAGCTTTAAAGAACAGAGAAAGCCAGCACTCCTTTTTACTAGTACTGAACCGGTTGTCGCGGCGGGCGGCAGCTGGCTATATTTATTATATTACACCGATTGACTTGTTACACCTAATCCTTGAACTTCTAACTCTAGACACTGTTTAAAGCTATCTAATGGGGTCTGAATCAATCCGTTTGAACTTGTGGTAAAATTGTGAGAAAATACATACGTTACATGTTTACAGCAGCCTAGTTTAATTTACGGCTTTGTCCCCATACTGAGCTTTTGTCCCCGGGCCATGGGTGCGTTTGCATACTAGTAAGGTATCAGGTTTCCGTGACGTAACATCGGTCGTCAACAAACATGTATTGATACTAGACAAGCAAATGGATGGAGTCCCCAACATTCAGACAGTGGCTGCCTCCTACTCGAGGTGCGAGGAGAGACCAGCGGTAGAGACACTAGATTTAGCTACAAACTGAACACTGTCACTGCCAGAACTGAACGATTTAAACTGTGATGGTGGCGTCCGAAACAACGCCCCCTTTTCTGTCAATCGGATCAAGATGAACGACTGGCATGAAGGCGTGAAATAGAGATGACGCGACTTTTGCAATTTTCACCTTTCACTTGCAGTTAATCTCCAAGCAGATCCCAGCTCTCGGTGGCGAAAAGACAGTATCAAATTGGCCAGGCAGTATCCATTAGCCAGCCAGAGATGGTCCGCGGCCACCGGTGGGGGTCAGGACAAAAAAACGGCAATATATAAAAAGGTAACGATCATTCCCCCACAACCTCTGCTTGGAGAGTAACTTGCAGTGGCCTATTGTTCATGAGTGATGGCACGTCCGAAAGAACGCCCCCTTTTCTGTCAATTGGATCAAAATGGACGACTGAAGACTGCTGTGGCCTATTGTTCAGGGGTGATGGATAATCTCCGGACCTCTAGGTTCTGAGCCGAACACGCTTCCGTCAGGTGTTACGTCACGATATATTGACGTATTTTACGAAGAATTATTCGCACATTGTATACAGATACTGTTTGGAGTCCTTCTTGGTTGTTTGGGACGATCTGACGATGACCCTCGCCTGATTGATCTGACCTGGACGCTGAAGATAGGGATCCCTGTTCACCCCATCTACCCTAACTATACCTTCACCATCATCAACAGGTAAATATTAGTTTGTTTATTAGCATGTGATCAAAGTGATAAAATAAACATTACTGAAGAAGATATGCAGGAGGACGATAAAAAAGTCTCTATCAGACTCCTTTGCATGCATAAATAGTTGAAAGCAGCCTAAAAAGAGGGTCCAGTTTTGACTGCATCTATGCACATTTGAGGCCGATTTCGTAATATCTATTCAACCTAGAAAGGAGTCTGGTGGAGACTAACTACTATGCAGGCAAACTGGACCCTCGATGGCTGGATAACCAACCCCCTTGGCCAGTTCGTTCGTTTCTAGGCCCATTTCTACTATTTCTCAAAACGTGTATGGTCAATGAATACTTGTGACCTTACCCTTTAATACCATGGAGGTAGCACGCCCTTACCTTGTCTTCTTTAAAAAACAACCTAAACTGTTATTGACATTGTATAATACATGTAACGTTATCTGTCCATCTGTTGTGACTTGTACTTAACAGGCCTTTCTACAGGAGTACGGATCGTAAAATTCGGCAAAAAAAGAGAGTCCGGCCGCGGGGAGGTAACTGCGCGGCCTGCCAAACCTATAAGGCGGCCAGACTCCCCTGGCAATTATTCTCCTATATATAGCCAGCGTATATAATCTGGTAGAGTCTATACCCTGCCTGCCCAGTGGGCAGTTGTTGTGAGTGTACAGTAAAGGTCTTCGTTCATTGTTAAAACAGGGGTGTGACTGGCGCTCTTGGCGTGTACTTGGAGTCCAATGAGATCTACATGAGCGAGCACACTGGGACTCACATAGACGCACCCGCGCATTTCGCTCAAGGAGCCTGGAGACGTGAGTTTATTTACTAGTATTTAGTATTTTTTGAAAGATTGAATAGATGATGCAGCTTTAACATTGCGCGGGAGTTTATTGGAACGTGGCGTCAGAGACATATGCATGTGACCGTAATAGCGGGCCATACATGCTAAATAACTTGTTTCATACCATAATAAATGCGCCGCCCCGAAGTGTACATGGTGAGATAATCCCTGGTCACGTGCGATAATCACCGAATAAACCAGCAAGTGAGCGGAGCGTAGTTTATGAGGCGGTTATTGCACCTGACCAGGGATTATATCACCATATACACCGACAATAAGAGCCTATCCAACTGACACAGTTATTTGACACAGATTCCTTTATAAAATTCTTCCACTACCGAAAAAATCTCTCACATTCCATATAACGTGACACAAAATGGCATGGACAGAAAAACAGATCATCTAGGCAATCGTCTGCGGTGACCACATGATACTGGAACAATACCACTTTTATTGGGGGTGTCAAAATTATGTTTAGTCTTTTTCTGTTTGAATCTCATATAGATCTTTTTAATTGTGCTGTGTTCTTCAAATAGGTTAAACTAAAATAGATAAATACTTCAATCTTAACACTAGTGTTTGCGTCCTGCCCCCTGTATAATGGTACGGTCCGAAATGTGGTCGGTTATTCTAATAACCGACCACTTTTTAGTTACGGCCTGATATCCAATGGGAAATGGAGCCTCCTGATTGCCCTCTGGCTATATGATAATGTTGCTTATCTAATAATCTGCTTAAATTGTCCCCAGTTGACCAGATCCCCTTCGGTCACCTGACCGGCCCCGGAGTGATGATTGACGTGAGGGACAAGATAGGCGACAACCCGGACTACCCCGTCACACCACAGGACTTACAGGACTGGGAACGAGAGTACGGGCGGATCCCAGATGGCGCCATTCTCATGCGTGAGTCTTTCAACCATGGTTTTATAATAATAACATGTAAGGTAAAAAATGTCTAGTGTATACATTTAATAAAATTTTCTACGTATATTACTGGAGGGTTTGACTTCTTCATTGGAGGCGGTTTATTTGAACAACTCATATCACTACTTCTAGATCTGTTCACAAATTGGAACACGCGTTCGGTTCGGGGTTCGAGTGACGTCACATCGAATACGATCGAACCTGATTCGGGTTCGAAAAAAAGTCAAGGAATTTTGGGGCCGAATTCACCATCGATGTCGTGATAGTCGCTACGTTGATAATAGCTTTGTGTACGCAACTTTTTTTTTAGTCATTTTCATGTACCGGGACAATGTCTATAATAATTTCCAAGCAGATCCTAGGGTGGCAAAAGACAGTATCAAATTGGCCAGGCAGTATCCATTCAAATATTCGCCAGAGAGCGTCCGTGGAGTATTGGACCCTCTCTAGCGAATAACAATGGCGTACTGGACCTTGAGTTGCGTATTGGACCCTCTCTGGCGAACGGATGAATGAATGAATGAATGAATGAATGAATGAATGAATGAATGAATGAATGAATGAATGAATGAATGAATGAATGGTTTATTCGATCATTTTGATCAGATAAAGTACATCGCAGCCATGGGCTGAATTGCGTACTTTTTACATTTAAAAACAGTTAAAAGTAGACTCTAAATACTGGCAAAAACTCATCTTTCTCAATTAACAATTCTAAAACATAAGAAACACTACCTTAAAACAGGTAGGTTGTATGACGGATACGTCGGAGTACTTAACGACACACACATATATGTAAAGGTACACAAGGTAAATATAACGTTCTACAGATAACAATGGGTATAGGTAAATGTCATTTACGTCGGGCAATTAGAACAATATTCGATCACAGATCTGTTTCATTCAGGAGGCGAGTCATGAAAGGAATTGGACTGTTCTGGTATCTTTTTGTCTTAGTTCTTATCCCAGTCAGGCGGTGCTTGTTTCTAGTGTCTCTTGAGCTGATGTCTCCTCGCGTAGGAGGGAGCCAGTTTCTGAATGACTCCGACTCCACCAGTCTCTTTGCAAAGTTACGGCACAAGTCACGTCGCCGGTCGTCTAGGGTAGGCAGGTCTAAGATGCTGCACGCCTCCTTGTAGGATGTGTAGGCCGGTCCAAGAATTATGCGACAGGCTCTTCTCTGGAGGGTTTCGATCCTGGCACGTTGTGCTGTAGTTAGTCCGGCATGCCACGCGGGGGCGGCGTACTCACATGTTGGGCGTACAAGGGTCTTGTAGCACAAAAGTAAGTCTTCTCGGGAGAGGTCGAAACACCGTAATCGTTTGAGTAAGTACAGTTTCTGGTTGCCCTGCTTTACCACATGGTTGACATGTAGTTCCCACCCTAGGTCCTCCTGGAAGTGCACACCGAGTAGTTTTACTGCTTTTACCTCCTCCAGTGGTTCGCCGGCTATTGAGAACTGGGGACGTGGGACATGGACTTTGGAGAAAGACACATGCATAACTTTACACTTCTTAGGATGTAGTTTCATTTGTCGGTTGTTTGTCCATCCAGTCAGTTGGTCTAGGTCGGTTTGTAAGGTAGAGGCCGCGCCTATCATTCGGCTCTCCGCCAAGTTCATGTCATCAACAAACTTCCACCGCGACGCGATGGCATCTTGGCACGCACTGTTGATAATGGCGAGGAATATGAGAGGACCGAGCACCGTTCCCTGGGAAGTCCACAAGTGGTCACCGTCCAGTCCGAGTAGGTCCCATTGTATCCAACTCTTTGTGCTCTTTGGGTGAGGAAACCGCAGAGCCAGTTTGCAAGTGACGGCCGTAACCCCATGTCCAGTAGGCTTGTTACCGCGAGATGATGGTCCACGCGGTCAAATGCCTTGGAGAAATCCGTTGTCACAAGGCTTGTGATCGTGCCTCTCCGATCAGCCGTCCTCGCTAGTTGATTTACAATGTCGACTAAACAGTGCGTCGTAGAGCGACCCGGGAGACAGCCGAACTGTTTGTGGTCTACGCATTGCTTGATGTCCTTGTAGAGCCACGACGCTACAAATCTCTCCGCTACCTTCGCCAGTATAGGCGTCAGGGACACAGGACGAAGTTCTTGGATTGACGGTGGTCGTGTTTTAGGTAATGGTACCACGTTAGCTTGTCGCCACTGCATGGGGACCAATCCTTCAACTAACGATGCATTCAGAATGGATGTGACGGGTGCTGACAGCTCATACGCAAACTCTTTTATCACTCTATTTGGAATGTTGTCAGGTCCGGTGGCTTTTCTCACTTTGATTTTGCGTAGCTCATTGTACACATCCATTTGTTGTAACTGGTCCACCGGTTCAGATGGGAGGAATGCAGGTAGTTTACCTCTGTCCAGTCGCTCCAAGGAACAGGTTACTCCACACAAGACCTTGTTGATCTCATTAGCAATAGTTTTGTAGTCGTCTGGAGGAATACCTTCGATGTTGAGGGTAAGGTTCTTCGTCCAGTGTTGTCATACTTCTAATTCCTGGTACCACCTTGATGGGTTGTCTTTTTGGAGAGTTTTGACTTTGTTTCTGTAGTAGTTTTTTTCGTGTCACGAATTTTGTTTTGAATCTTGCCACGTAGTGATCTCCATATGTCGTTTTTACCAGTTTTGAAGGCTTCTTGCCGCTTCCTGATCAGTGATTTGATCTCTGTGTTCATCCATGGTTTATCAGTGTGATGTAGTCTCGTTATTTTCACAGGGAAGTGCTGATCTATCTTCTCTGTTAGAGTTTGGTAAAAGTTGTTGGTCTTAGTTTGTACGTCGTCTGCTGTAAGGACTTCAGTCCAGTCGTGCGTGACCAACCATTGACCAAAGGACCTGATCTTGGAGTCTGGCATTGGTCTGGTGACCTTTGGCCTTGTTTCGTTTCTTACAAGGCGTGTTTTGGGGCTGAAGTGAACAATGTTATGATCACTGGAGCCCAACGGCGGAAGCAACGTTGGTGGATGGTACATGTGGTCAAGGTTTGTGATGATAAGGTCAAGTGTTGCATCCATTCTGGTTGGTACGTCAACTACTTGTCGAAGTCCGTTTCCTCTGCAGAGATCCTGGGGGTCGGTTCGGTTAAAATCCCCGGCGATGCACAGTCCGACATCGGGGGTCACTGACCTTAACTCGTCTACCACAGTTAACAGGTGGGTGATCAGGTCGTCGCTATGCGGCGATCCAGGTGGGTTGTATACCGCACATACCACAACACTAGGCAGCTCCCGTGGAAGACGTGATGGCCGAATCTTTATCCACAAACACTCCAAGTCGTTAGGGATTGTAACATCGATGGCCTTAGCCTGTATGTTGCTGTTCACATAAATTGCTACCCCACCGCCTCTCTTGCCTTGACGCGGTTTGGAGAAAAGGTTGTACCCGTCGATATCCCACAAAGCGTCAGGTAAGTCAGGGTTAAACCATGTTTCTGTGATGACCGCAACATGAACGTTCAACGAATATAGTAGTGATCGACACTCATCCATCTTATTACAGAGCGATCTAGCGTTGATGACAAGAACGTTCGGCATGGGGTGGGGGTTGCTGTTGTTGTCTGCACTTATCCCATCCAATGGGAGGCCATCTTTTCTGATTGGAATAAGCTTAATGCAACTTTGGCGCGTTTTCTTGTCTGGATACTGTCTGGTCAATTTGATACTGTCTTTTGCCACCCAAGGATCTGCTTGGAGATTATAATGTTTATGCAATGTCCAGTCCGTACAGGTTGGGGCGAGCAGTTCTGGGAGGAAGGACCGGCGGCGTATCTCGGCACGGACCACACAAGGAACGCCTCCTTGCTGCACTCGCCGGGACTGCACCCCGCCGCCGCCCAGTGGATCGTGGACAACCGTGACGTGAAGGCGGTCGGGTTTGACACCATCTCCGCAGATCCTGGAGATTCGACGGTAAAATGCTGTTAAACCTATCCTCTTTTTTATGATTACCGAAAAAATATTGTTTTTGCTACGTTTTCTCTTCTTCTTCTTCTCCAAAAAGTGACCCCTGACCTGACTGAACCAGACTGTCTCAACACTTCTGGTGTTGAGTTAACGTTACATAATTTGCAATTTTATAGTAGGAGGGATTTAGATTCATGTCACCATATATGTGAATGTGTTTGAGTAAGAATTAACAGAGCAGACCATATGTGAAGGTAAACATTATGCATTTGCTTTGCAAATGTTACATTTCTAGTTTTCTTGTTGAAGTTATCCTTTCATCAATGTTTATCTTCGCATAAGGAAAATCGTTTTGCTCAGTTTCCTTCTTCTCCAAGTACTAGAACAGATGGCTGTAACCATAGGTGACTGGTGCTGTAGCAGACACCCTGTGGTATTGAAATACATCATGTAGCAATGGCAGGACAGGTTTTTGGGGCTGGTTACCATACATATGAATTTGTTTTAGTAAGAATGAACAGAGAGGTAGTTTGTGTTATGCATTTGCTTTGCAAATGTTGCCTTATTTTGAAATCCCCCCAAGCTTTCCTTCGTCTTTCTCACATTGAAAATCTCTCCCTAGACGTATGAAACTCACCTGATCCTCCTGCCCAACAACGTCCTCATCCTAGAGAACGTGGCCCACCTGGACGAGATGCCCCCTACCGGATCCACCGTGTATGCCATGCCCATCAAGATCGGTGATGGAAGCGGAGCTCCCTCTCGAGTTTTTGCAATCGTCGATGACCGAACCAGCGCGGGGGTAACGACTACGCCAAACTTAATCTTCATTGTAACTTCAGTTATCATGATTATCTTACAGGCCCTGTGAGATAAGCATAGTATCTAATACAGGTAACAGTTATCTGATTGGTAATACACGTGAGAACATTACATTAAAAGTAAATATACAGAGATTCTTTATTGACACAACAAAAAAGTACAGGGACTTTTGTATGGTCTTCTACAACTTAAGATCTAACAAAGCTAAATACATGTGTGGATAACGTCATCTTACGTACAGAGTATATGTATGCAGTAATAATAAAGGTTTAACTATTCTCTACGCACGGGAGACCTTTTTTTTATTCTCTAACATGTGATCGAAACATTCTTTAATGTATTATATTTTCCTATTTGACCACTGTATTGGTTATCTCCCCTGAGAATGTAGAGTTAATAACTTACGAGTTGGAATTGTCTTCATATACGTGGTGTGTGAGTGCAGATAATTGTAACTTCCGTTATCATGCTTATCTTTCAGGCTATATAGCTGTAAACATAACTGATTCATTGTAATACACGTGAGAACATTACATACAAGGAATATATGAGTTATGAGTTTTTATATAAGAAAGAAGGAATGACTTAACAGCCGTAATATAATGTTATCAATCCACGAACTCTTCACAAACAAAAGTATAAGAAGGTGATCTGATCACGAGATAATTAAATGTACGTAGCAGGCGAAGCCACAGTATTAATGAGGCTGAATGAATGAATTAGTTAATTGTATATGTCAAACTGTTTGCATGTTTCATTAAGTTTACACTGGTAACAAATATGCCTGGGCAGCTTTCATTCGCACCCTTTGTTAATAAGAAACGTTGGTCGAAAAGTACTCAATGGGTTTGTTTGATAACGTTTTATAAGTTATTTAAAACGAACTATAGCTACTTGGATCTTGCTTCGTGAACTGACAGCTAAAATGTGGATTTTATTTTTGTGGTTCATTATTTTGAGGTGAATAAAAAGAGTAACTTTGGTGGCTTAGAACATGTTTTTTTATGGCATATCAACATTGATTTCTTTTGGGTCGCCTACGTATACCAACTTTAAAGAATCTATGGGGGCGGCCCACAACAAACAGAGTATAATTAAAACGGAATGGCATGTCAGATATGCCGCCAGAAAAACAATTGTGGACCTAAAACGATTGTTTTCTTTTCCGATGGCAAACCGTGGACTTAAAACGCCCACGTACACGCCCCTTTTGCTGTCGACGTCAATGCAGCGCCCACCAGCTACGTAGTATGCCACTTCTGATTGGCCATTAGACTTGATCTTGGAGAATATCAACCAACCATTGCAAGCGTAACAAAACTGTACAATGAATATAGAAGTTGCGTCCTGCAGATGTGTTTGTTTACCGCGCGCGCCTGGGGCCCAGCACAAAGCCGGGGCCGAGCGTGGTCCCGCGGGATACCTGCAGAATCGTGACTTTGGTGCTGACTAAAGACGTCTGGTGCCAGTTGCAGGCTAAGAAATTCGGACTGTCAACTTTACAGAGGTAGTAAGCTGTGCATTTGCATAAAACGTACGAGCGAGCAGTCACCATACAACGTCATCCACTGAGCTAGGTCCGACTGGAACACCTAGTGAATACCTTTACCTGCCGACTTTGTTGTGCGGCCACGGTCAACATGGCGCCTTTTCAGTGAGGACGTGTGTCCTCTCTTTAGGCGCTGGTTATGATCATCAAGCTCCTTGTCAACCCATAATTCCGCGATTTATCTTAAATCAAAGCCTCGAGCTTTGTTATTTGTCGGATCTTTTACGGAATCAGAGAGAAGGAGACAAACTTATCAAGTGGAAACATTGGAAACAACGGAAGTAGAACGAAGTGACGGGACAACAAGGCTGTCATGTCCACTGCCACGGAAGACGTGTCAGCGAACGGTGTTGCTGACGAAAATGACGACAACTTCTCCCAGGTAAGGCTTGCCGTAATGTTCAAGTAATCATTTAAGGGTTGAACAGTCCGCTTAGACACGATTCTAAATGTTTGATTACAATTTGTAAGCGCTTTAAAAGTAGTAACTAGGCACAGATCAGATTACGTTTTAAAACAAAATGGCGTTTTTCAAAACACCTTGTCGAAATTTGTTGACAACCTTTACCTTAATTTCGTTCTTACGAAGTCCGTGGATGAAGTTATCCGCCTGCTAGACGAACTAGCGCCAGGTACGGACGACGATGGAGGCGCTGAAACGCCGCCGTCTGATCCACAAGTGGGACGGGAAGAAGGCACTTTGTCGGGGGAAATTGTAGAGACCGCCCCACCGGAACTCGACGCCCGGCCGGTGTGTACACCATATATCTTACTGTATTGAGCATGTTTAAGATACTAAGAAGCAAAATGGTAACGTTATCAGTGTGATAATTATCCTGATGTACATAGTTATTGGTTCCTATCCAACAGGTAGTCTACAACTAGTACAAGCAGAGGTGTTTTGACGTGTTTTTGTGTGTGTGTGTGTCAAGGTGCTTCAGTGTCACACTCTGTGCTTGTGTCACGCACGGTGCGGCGTCACACCGTGTGACTGTACGTGTATAGCATTTTCAGGCGTTTTGTGGGGCTTTCTAGTTTGTCGGCCTGTCTTTCGGTTTGGAGAGTATCCAGCAAATAACAGACCACTCTCACTTTTCATAGCACCGCTCAAACCTTCATGTTTGGGAGAAATGGAAACGAAAGTGAAAGTAATCTAGTTAATATGTCCTTGTGTCAGACTCAGTTGTCTTTTACTATCTATTAACCCTAGCCAAACTCCTACTGCGGGGAGGGGACTACCGTGGATTGCTGTCAGCACAGGGAGGAGGCTGAAAGTCTTAAGAAACAGGTTGAAGATGCAAAGACAAGGGAAGACCAGGTAAGCAATGTGCGACACTATCACTGAATGAAATCAAAACACTGGACATAATTAGGTGCAGGAGTTGGACCTAAGCTAGAAGAAATGGACCCAGCAACCTTCCTCACATTTGAACAAATATCATAATTCTAGATTGCAAAAGTATTGAGTGCTTAATGGCCTGATTAATAGTAATACATGCATTATTCTTTGGCCATATAAACTTTATTAGTTGTTTCAAGGAACTTTTTTGGAGGAAAAATAAAATTTGAAGAGACTTAAGTCTTAGACCTAGACCATGAATGGACTTAATTATCTATCTTTAGATGGCTGCTGCTTTGAAGGATGTAAGAGCTGAAAATGAGGAACTCAAAGAAGCTGTGGAGGTCTTGAAAGATGAGAACAAGAGGATCAACAGGATGCTCAGTACATCTGGCATGCAAAGGCCTGAAGGTGAATGAGATCATTCTGTTCTTCATGCCTTCAGCTCGTGCCAAATCTACTTTTAGATACCGGTAGCCATAGATATTTTGATATCTTGCAATTGTATGTCATCCCGATGATTTGTTTGCTTCTCAAAAGTACATCTTTTGGTAAAAATTGTATGTATAAAATGCATAAGTCTATCAATTATTTTTTATATAATAATACATTGAACTTTTTTGTGTTGAACCGCATTGCTAGCAGAAATATGACATTGCAAAAAAAACATACTGTTCTATGCACTTTGCAGCTATTACGGTGTACAGTATGATGCCAGAGACCCAGCCAGCAACATACCAACAAACAGAGAAAAAGGTTGTAGCGTCCGACCCTGATGAAGGTGGGGACACTCCAGGGCCAGGGCACACTGGGGACCAACAGCCTGCACGCCAGCTGTTCAAGCCTGCACCCCAACCCCCTCATGCTTTTCCCCAACCTCCACCTCAACCCTACCAACCTGCACCCCAACCTCCACCACAAACCTACCAACTTGCCCCCCAACCTCCACCGCAACCCTACCAACTTGCACCCCAAACTCCACCGCAACCCTACCAACTTGCACCCCAAACTCCACCGCAACCCTACCAACTTGCACCCCAAACTCCACCCCAAGTCTACCCACCCCAATTGTACCCACCTACAACCCTGCAGTACCAGTCTGCCCCACAAGTTGTCCCGGCGTTTGGAACCCAGCAGCCAGCTGCGCAGTTTCACTACCCATCTGCGGGCCAACTGCACAACAATCCCACCTTCAACATCACCTTCACTAACGCACCTGCACAGACACCTGCAGCTGGTGCACACCTGGTAAGACATCCTCAGCAACATTAAAATAGAGTAGAATAGAATATAATAGATTATGGAATAGAATAAAATAGAATAGAATAGAATAGAATAGAAAAGTCAAGAATAGAATAGATCTGAGTTGAGTAGAACAGAGTAAAATAGAGTAGAAAAGAATGGAGTAGAATAGAATACACTAGCATAAAATAGAATGACATAGAATAGAATAGAATGCAGAATAGAATAGAAAGTATATCAGAATGAGATAGGATGAAATAGCTATTAAAAATCAAAGAATAAACAATCAAGAATATTCTTTGCACCCAAAAGCATAACTTAGTACTGTAGTAAAAATGCGTCAATAGATATTGCTTGTCAATGAATGCAAAACAGAACATTGTGAGTTATCTTCTGTTCTCCATTTAAGGGACACCCTGTGGCAGAGGCACAGCGTGACCCAGTGACAATCCACCAGCCACCACCTGAGGAGTCCCTGCATTTCCCTATTCAGGTGCAGGACACACGGAAGCAGTCTGTGAGTAACAAATCTAACATTAAATCTCTTCAAAGTTTTAATGTATCTCTTATTGAAATTCTCTGATTTCTCATTGTACAATGTTTTGTGTGCTTTTTTGTTGTGTGCCTTGATGGATAATCCCATATGGATAATCTCATATTCCCAGATTATGTCACTTTAATAGTTTCATAATAATTATTGTTATGTTGCAGGACTGCTCTGTGACTTTCAAGAAGACTATCATCGACACAGATTAATAAGAACTGGGTCAGTGGAAAGCAGTCATGGCCCTAGCCCATGTGTCAGTCGTAAAGGTTAACATCATTTGGCAAAGTGATGATATCGTGGAAGTTTAGTTCAGAATGATTTGCAGTAATGATATCGAGGAAGTTTAGTTCAGAATGATTTGCAGTAATGATATCGAGGAAGAACAAGGCTCAAAGGTCCACTTTTTGGTCCACTTTTTATCTAAAGGTCCAAGATTTTTCTTTAAAAGATAGACTGATTCGTGTCACCAGCGAGGCTGGAATCGTAGAAAAACCGCTCACTTTGTCATGGAAAAAAGTTATCTCTGATTTTTTTTCTTTGAAATCCTCTAAAAAAAATGCAGGAAATGCCATTTCAGAAGGTTTTTTCTTTTTAATTTCCCGGACCCCCCTAGGAACCTCGTGCCTACGGCGCTTGCTGGTCCCTCAAGCAGTGGCAAGAACCCCCCCCCCATTCAAAATCCTGACTACGGGCAAGAGTTCAGAATGATTTGCAGTGATTTAGAGCACAGTTCAAATTTTACTCGAAAACAGTCACCATAGCTATTTGATTCTAGTCAGGTTTGTTGACTATAAATCCAGTACTTTTAAGAGTACAGGTGCAAGTGACTTACAATACTATAAGCACTTGATGTAGTGCTTTTTACCAATTATGTCAGTTTCTCCTCTTGCTTTCACAAACAGCCACAGGACAAAAGGAATTGTCAGAAAAGTGTACCAGCTTATTTGGCCACAAGAAGTTAGTGGAAAGTCACTGATGATTTGGTAATGGTGTACAACTACTGTAAATCATGAAACTTTTGTAGTGGTTTTGTTTCGCTGTGGGAGGGAATGGGAGTTTGTGGTTGAAATAATTAGTACAGTGTAGTCACACAAGGAAGACACAATTGCATTGTCACGTATTTGTAATGGAGAGGTCGCTGCAAAAATGAAATCACCACGAAAGTTTCACCCGGTTTATGATGTGCAACAGGCATGTATGACAGCAGTGCCTGTTATAGGCATTTGCAGTGTTTTTAGCACAGCGGCACAATTCTAACGATGGACCGCATCTGAAATGTTTCAGATGGAAGTAGTAGAAATGTAGGTTGGTTTGCCGTGTCAGCTTTTACTTGCCATTGAGGCCAAACTGACTTGATTATATGGGTGACATCTGAATGAACGTGCATCAATTTTCGTCCGATTTTGTGACCATTTCTTTTGGAACTTGAAGGGTGACAGAGGTCGAAGGGAAAGAGGAGTACCACATAGGAAGAGGAGCAGCACTCTCTTGTTCATACCACCAAGTCTTTCGAAGTCTAGTGTTCACTAATTGTTCAACCTTCCAGTCATCACTTAGATTTCACAATGAAGGCAGCTTTTTTTTTCATCTTTTTTTGGGGTGCTCAGAGAATGTCATCCATACAGTCAATCAAATCAGTATGGCTTTAAATATTGGAAAATGACTACAATGACTATGCATTGTATACCCATAATGTAGTGGTCATTTTAACTTAGAATTTAGTGGACTGTACCCTGTATGTGTCATGTTTATCAACAGTACACACTACACAGTGTAGGAAGTGACATGAAATGTCTAGGGAGTGCCCATGATGAAACCAATTCTGTAGCAACGGCAGTGTAAATGTAATGGATTGGACTAGTGGTATGAGTTCCCAGGAGAGAGTTCACTGTGAAAATAAAACCATCACATTTTCAACGTTTAGTGAAATTTTATATAAAGGAGCTACAGGGCACTCCCTTAGCTCTGTCATGAAAAAGAGATCAACTTCATGTGTATTATGGGTACTTTATGGTGTGTTTCAATAAAACTTCTCAAAAATCTCCTGACAGTCATTTTATTTTGTTCATCATACTCAGTACAAAAGAACAATATTAACGTTACTACTTTAAAGATTTGGGCTAGAAACATGTATATCTGTTTTTACTTCTGGGTATGAAAGTCTTGTTTGGAGTCAGTTATATGTGGGTTTGTGTGTATATTTGTCCGTACCGAGTTGGTTGAAATACATAGGTGGGGAAAGACTGACAGGCAGAATGACAGGCCAAGAGATCAGACACAGGAAATTAGTGATGAACTTAAAGGTCCCAGAATCAAATCTGGCTGGAAGCTAGCAGTAATTTGAGATTGGCATTTGCAGAGAGGATGTAAGACTCACGAGCTAATAGGTTTGGTAACCAGGCTATTTGCAGAGAAGATGTAGGACTCAGAAACTATGATACAATGTAGGTTAGGTAACCAGGCTAGTTGATGTGACTCTTAGACAGCTAATTGTACATGTGTACAGTCATGTATTTGCAAATCTACTTAAAACTCAAGAGACATTGCTTGGCATTAATAATCTATAATCTCTGATCATAGTTTTCTGGTTTATATATACATGTAGTACACTTTTTTCTCCTGTTGCTACTTTTTTTAAATCTAGGACACTTTTTGTAAGTTAGTGTTTCAGGAACGCTACAGTGTGGTACGACCAAACAGCAAATTGATTCATAGTATTGAAAATGTATACACTGGAATGACTGGATGGACTTCACAAATCAAAGTGGAACTTGCTTGCCATGCCTACCAAAATACAAACTTTGTCACAAAATATACACAATGTGTACTAAGACAATGTTTTACCAAAATATGTTTCACCCAAAGTCACACACTTTGTTATCTACAAATTTTAAAACCACAGGCACAATACATGTACATTACTTTCGACTCTTTTTGACTGATCCCACAATATGTACACACCACATATACACATACATACCTGTACTATATAATAACAGACTGAGTGTTGTCTACTTTTGAAAGACAAAAACACTATAAAAAATCATATGTACGTCATGAGACTTACAGCCAACATATTCCTCCCAACAGTTGTAACTGATTCTTAAACCCAATGTCATAAGAGAAGCTTGGTAACTTTTAACCATTTGACCTTCACATGTCCTCATCCACGTCCCTGGTGAGGTCGACCTTGACCATGTTAGTGGGTTTGACCCCGCCCCCACGCAGACCAGCCAGGTACACCTGTGGTTTGGGCACGTTGGTGCCGTCCTCCGTCTTCGTCTGGGAGCCTTGGTCCCTGGTGAGGGGGGGAGAGATACAGATGGTTATCAACTGATCATTGAGACTCTTAACTTAGACACACTTTGATATGAAATTGTAAAAAACATTAGTCTCATGGATAGGAAAGAAGCATTGAAAGCATCATGGGGTTGTGTGGAATAATGGCAGAGTGTTCAAATCCTGCCTTGTCACCAATCTTTCACAAACTTTCTTCATTGAGGTAAAAATGAGTGCCTGGCTCATGTTAGGGATGTCCCTCAGATAGGACCTCCAGACGCTAAATGGAGGTCCTGTATTTGGGGAGAGTTTCTAAAAATAATAGGGGCATGCCCTGGTGTGTGATGGTCCAAATACTACTAACTGAAGTTGGCAATTCACTTCAGATGGAGGCCTGGCAATCCCCTTCTACTAGCAACACGGTGATTTACATCATAACCTGGACTCCAAAAAGAATAGTGTGAATTGTCTTACTAATTGAGATCCTAAACAAACAAACAAACAAATATACATTCTGAAGAAGTATGTTTACTGACTTTGGCAGGTAGACCTGTGTGACGTTGTCTCTTCTCATGTTGCTGAGGTTGGTCTGCTGGGAGTGGGTCACCTTCTTCCGCAGGTTAGCCTGGAACAACAACAAGCGAGTCAGCAATGTTCAGGGCTCAAAATACTGGGTAATATTCAGGTAGTAAAATTGGAGCTGTGCAGGTATTTCTCATGTCTTCCTGCACTGCTCAATGTACTGGGCTTTTAATAAATATACATGGTGGATTTTTATTTGCTGCATTGACTTTTATCACCTATGAAGTATAGAAGAATGTATGATATACAATAGAGGTAAATGGCAGACAGCCATCAAGCCTCAGCATCAGCGTGTAAGCATGTCTAGCCCATGGGAATCAGGGAACAACTGATGCTAAACCAGACAGTGAGTGGTGAGTGAGTCCTTCGTACCAGTTTGATGGCCTTCCTGCGCAGCTCCCACTCGTTCCACTCATAAGACTTGACGATGTTGGACTCCATGAAGTGTGTGTCCGTCTGAGTCCCGCTGTCACACTTCGTCACCGGCTTCTCAATCATCCGGCCCTGGTCTCCCTGGAAACAACAAAGTAAATCTGGTCAGGTTTTCTTCTTAGAGGGCAAGAAAATATCAAATGTGAAAGAATTACATTACCTAAACACTACTTTATAACAGTGTGTGACAGGCTGAATAAAAGTTCTAAATGGGAACTTTGCAGCTCCAGGTATCTTACTGAGGGACGACAGCATGTGCAAGATGTCGGTTAGCTTGAGGAATGAATCCCCTCCGCTATATACTACAGTGATAGGAAAAGTGCTGTATGGGAAAGTATGAATTTATGTTCGGGGCTTGGAAAAAATTGGGGCATATGTACATTGTACATCTAAAATTGGAGCTGTGCAGCTAATTTTGACTGTGGGGTACATCAATGCAGCCACTTAGATGAATGAAAGGGATGAATGAAAAAAGGAATGGCTGAATGAATGAATCCATCCATCTATCCACCAATCAATGAATGAAGACCACATACTTGTGCATAAGGTGTGATAGTGGCAAACTGCTGGTGGAGCTCCAGTAACTGGATCAGCTCAGGGGACTTCTTGGCACACTCTGCCACCTGGAGGATAAAACTGCAAAAAAAAAGAGACACGTACGATGTAAGCTGCAGTGAGGAACACTTTTTCTTAACCAGCCTAAAATCTGTCCATCTAATCAACCTCCTCAAAACCTCAATTTACATCAGCTAGACCTGACAAACTGCTTCCAGGTTTGCCTCAGGACATTTGAAATGAAATTCTAGATCATGGCAGCAGACATTAAACGCTTGAGCACCAGCGATCACTTCATTTCCGAACTGGCACAACCTGAAAACAAGCTGACATCCTCCCACATGGACACTGGGGTGGGTAGACTTTGCCGGGAACAGATTTGTTGGGTCAGGCTGATTTGAAGAGGTTGATTAGACGAGGTCCAAATGTAGACTTTAAAAGAATAACAAACCTGAAAACAGTTTCATCAGGTTGGTTAAGTATAGGATACCGGAGTTTTCTTTTACACAACCAAGATGGTTACCTTGCTGAAATTTTGGTGTCTATCAGACACCTTCCTCAGAGCTTCATGTGTGATACTTCTAAAATGATAACCTACATGTCAGGATCCTTGTTGCTGCCTGGCTACCCAGGTGATGTCTTGTTGCAATTTCAATAAAGTAAAGTAATATTAACTTACATGTCCGGATCCTTGGCGAACTCCAGAGCAGCCTGTTTGGAGGTGAAGACGTAGTAGTTCTCGCGGTAGTGGAGAACGCCGATCTCCGGGTTGCCTGGCAACAAGAGACGGTCGTTGGCCACCAGTGTGAACCCGCAGTAACCCTGGGGGATGGGATCAAATACAGTCAGTCAGAGAAAAATACTTTGTCAGAGAAAGTTTTTAGAAATTCCCAAAAAACAATTATTACACAGAGGCCGCAGTGCAAAGCCGCAGTAACCCTGTGGAATAAGATTGAAAAGTGTCGGTCAGATCGAGAAAATATTTTTTGGCAATAATTTTTAGCAATTAAAAAAAATCACACAATTACACGGAGGAATAAAATTTCTGATTTTTTTAGTTTAGTTTTGATACTGGATTCATGTGCTTTGTAGCAATCTTGTAATGGTCGAATAGCATCTAGTAGGGTTCAGAAGTGGCTGGAAAGAGTAGAAATCAGCCAAATAGATACATAACATGTCAGGGGAGTTGGTCTGCTCTGAGTGGCAAATTGTACTCCTTTAGCACTGGCCAACTCCTCTGGCATTTTACCTTTCTATTTGGCCAATTTCTACTCTTTCCAGCTGCTTCTGAAGTCTAGTAGAGGCTACTGGTAGAATATCAAGTTATTAATATGTAATTTGTTGTTCAATATGATGATACTCTCACCCAATTCTTCCAGACAAGCAGATGATAGGAAAGACAAATGTAGGTTTATTAGTGTTACCCTGTATTGTAGTGGCAGCTTCTCAAAGTTCTTGGTTGTCTCTGGGAAGAGAAACTCGATCCCCTCCCTGATCCTGAACTCAGACGGGTCAACTCGGAACTCCATCCCGGTGGTCTGGAAGGGAAGACATTCAGAGGTAAATTACATGGGCTGAACACTGTTTTTTCAACATACATCTGTATCTTTGAAGCATTAGTCACAAACATGACGGGCATACATGTCAGGGCTCGAAATACCACCTGCATGAAGTTTTTAGTATGATCCATACTTCTGAGCGATGCATATGCAGAATTTAGAGTCCTGTAAAATATGTGATCTTTCAGGTACTAAACCTGGGTTCAACAACATGGGTAACAAAAAGAGTAGGGGCATGCAATGATCCAAATACTACTATCTGATGATTAACTACGGACTCCTGGTATGAAATTCACACTAATGGAGACCCTAAACAAACAAACAAACAACCAAACAGCTGGCCTGACCTCTCGGATCCTCTGCTCGTCACCTCTGACCTCAGCGTCGCCCAGGAACGGCGCCAGGACCTCCTCCGTGAACATCTCGCGGTGCGTCTTGGTGAAGGGCTCCAGGCTGGCCAGGATGTTACTGAGCACGCTCAGAAGGACCATCTCGTCCTGGAACCCGCTCCACAGGTGAGCCAGCGCGATGAACTGGGGCTGGGGGAAAAGGTCAAGGGTTAAATTACTGATAAAACTTTGGGGGGGATGAGGCTCTTACATGACGTTTTGACATCAACAAGGAATCAACAAGATTTTAGACCTCGCAGAACTTTCATTCATACTGCAGGACACAACTGGAATAGTCTCCCAAAAAACATGGTCGGCCTGATCACTGACACAAGCATCTTCTTTCCACCACCAGGACTTCTGCATGTAGCTATAACTTTGCAGTTGCTGTAAACCAATGACATCGCTACTTGCACAAACAGAAAGTATTACACAAACCCACAGCTCAGCAACCCAAACAAATTACACCAACTTTGTTTTTGATTTGGTATACAATACAATTGCGTACATTGCCTACTTAGAGGGAAATAACAGTACGGTAGTTAGTTAGGTGAAGGTTAACACTGTGCATTAGCACTGCAAATGTTAACCTTTCTAGTTGATGAAGTGACTTACATAGACATGAGAAGTTGGGACGGCAGTCTTGGAGCGGACCGTGTCCTTCAGCTGTTCCATCCGTGTTGCCAGCTGGGATTCCAGTAGCTCCACTTGCTGGGCACAGCCAATCACATCGTTCTGTATGGGTATAACATGAAGTCTTTACAATGAGTGACTACTTTACTTTACAATTTCTTCACATTGCCCAAATTACATTAGAGGACTGCACTAAATACAGTTTCTGACCACTAAACCAAAAAAAAGAATTGAAATCATACATTTCAGGCTTCTGATAGTTATTTGGGGGTTGTTGTGACCCTATTTCCTGGCTAACCTTTTGACCTACCTTGTCTGACCTTCTGCCTGTCAATCTTCTCCCCACATATGCTGTCAACCTACTCTGTCCAGATAAACATACACACAAACTCACAGCTCAACCACCAAAGACAATACTTTTATATCTGAAAACATGGATATCTGGAATGGTATTTGTAAGAATGACCAACATAAACAGCTTGTACATGTATGTTACAGGTTTATAAGACAGAGAGCCGTACCAGCAGGATCCTGAGGAAGGCTTCGTGCTGGCGACTGTTGATGAGAGACTCCTTCAGCAGCTGCAGAGACGGGCCCTCCAGGCTAGGGTCAGCCTGCATCTTCTCTATCAGAGCTGCAGGAAATCACAGCAGGGGTCAGTTGGGTTAAAATGATAGCATACAGACATATCAAGTAATTCTTATAATAATTACTGCTCCCAGGTCAGGTCGGGTCAGCCTGCATCTTCTCTATCAGGGCTACAGGAAAACACAGCAGGAGTCAGTTGGGTTAGACTTATAATAATTACAGCTGCAGAGACGGGCCCTCCAGGCTAGGGTCAGCCTGCATCTTCTCTATCAAGGCTACAGGACAGGAAACACAGCAGGAGTCAGTTGGGTTAGACTTATAATAATTACAGCTGCAGAGACGGGCCCTCCAGGCTAGGGTCAGCCTGCATCTTCTCTATCAGGGCTGCAGGAAACGTAGCAGGAGTCTGTTGGGTTAGACTTATAATAATTACAGCTGCAGAGACGGGCCCTCCAGGCTAGGGTCAGTCTGCATCTTCTCTATCAGGGCTGCAGGAAACACAGCAGGAGTCAGTTGGGTTAAAATGATAGCATACAGACATATCAACTCATCTTAATTCTTACAATTAAAGACTTATTGAGATCGAGCCTGACATAACAACCTCAGAAAAATCTGTACCTTCTGTACCGGTAGAATCACAAGACATCCAAATTTTACTCCATAAATGAAGTTATGAAGGGTACCAGCTTTACTACTTACCTAGACAGAGATTTTCCTAACTTGAACAAAATGATTTTGTCCTATGTTAATCATGATCTTAGGTGAAATAATATAAATACAGGGCTTAAAATGCTTTCTTTCTGCATAACTGCACTGCTGCATGTAACACTGAAAATAACCTGCACCAGACAAATTCTACCTGCATTACTCAGATTTTAGGAAGGTAGTAGAAGGTACCGGTACGCACATTATTTATGTAGGTTTCTATTACCTAAAACTGTTCAGAAACCATTGCCATTATTTCATTTATACTTGTTAACAGCCAATAAAGCTAATGGAAATCCACATACATGTACTGCATTTGTACACGTATATAAACCCAGTACAAGGACAGCAGGTTAGGTGCAGGTCTAAGACATAAGAGATACCTGCCTGCATAGCTTCAAATTTTACCTGAACACCTTGTATTTCGAGTCCTGTGACAGTGAACATGTAAGAATTAGGAGCAAACTTAAAGGATGCCTGTTTTTCATTGGCACAACCCGTATATACCTGTATATTTGTGAGCCATCCGTGTGGTGATCTGGATCTCAGCATCTACATTTTGTGTGGTGGCAGGGACAGCTTCATTCAGAATGGCTGGCACTGAAGGGAAAAAAAGTACAGTTAAATCAGATTATGTGTTTGAGTTTTTATGTTTGCTTCTCAAAAGAATGCTTTTTGTGCATCGTAAGCAAATATCAATATAATACAAAAATGACTTCATCAGGTTGGTAGAATTTTCCCTCAGGCGGATCAAAGAGGCTGTCTGGATAAGAAAGTCAACCCCGCAGTGATGAACCGGGACGTGGGGGGACACAAACTCAGCCACGTTTGGGATTGTGTTCTTATAGCAAAAGAGCCACCTACATCAGCTACATACAGCGGCAAGAAGCAGTACTTCAGTCAGAAGCTCTGAGTGATTTCTCTTGTCTGATTACAAGAAAACTCCAACTTCCTCTCAAATATCACAATATCAACGGTGGCCATGTCCATGTTCTAACAATAACATCCCAAAGCTAAACTCACAATCATCGATACCCTCTCCACCCTTGCCACACTCCTTGTTGAAGAGGCGGATCCCGGTGACGATGAGAGTGAGTTCCTTCAGCTGCCGTTCCTTGTCTCTCTTCACCAGAGACATGAAGGTACCCAGCTCTGTCTGCGGAAACACACTCTGCAGGGCAGCTGGGGAGAACATAGTTTGTGGTGGGGTTAATTCTATGTTTCCCTTTTATGCAAAATAGGTGCACACTAGAATGGTAACATTAGCAAAGCAATTTTTTTTTTAATGTTTACCTTCATAAGGTCTAGCCTAACAAACTACTACTTATTCTTACTAAACAGTCGTTCATCTACTAGCTGCTCCAGCTTGCTACATAATGTAATCCAACACCACAGGGTATCTGCTACAGCACCAGTTACGATGATTTACATATATCATTTACAGTACTGAGATGGGATTTGTCCGATTTTGACTTTATTCACCTTTCTGAAGACTCCTACGTACAGTACACACTAGGGACTGCCTATTTCAGCACCAAGGACATCACCCACAGAACTGATTGATTACATTTGATTTACTGAAATTGCAACAGTGCAATACACGCGTAAGGTAACAGAGGCAGCTGTTGCTGGTGTTGTGTCCCGCAAATAGAATTTACGAATACTGGACAGACAATACTCATTTTCACTTGAATCTAGTGGGGAAAGTCGTGTAAAATGCCTTTCCAAAGGGCACAAGATCGGTAGCATGTCAGGACTCGAACCTGGGACCTCTTGATTATGAGTCGCGCATGCTGCCATTGCACCACACGACCCCACTAAATACAGCTACGGTATACCAGCCATGCATTCTCTCGAGTCTCTCAAACAGTGATTTGCATGAACGGGAAACGTACCAGTAGCCTCCCTGACGACAGCAATTTCTGTGCGTAGCAGCACAGTGGACACGATCTTGCGGTACAGACTCTCAATGTTACATTACAACACGTATAATCCATATACATGAACGGGAAACGTACCAGTTGCCTCCCTGACAACAGCGATGTCAGTGGGAGACCCCAGCCCTGAGCGGAGCAGGACGGCGGACACGATCTTGTGGTACAGACTCTTATTGTTATATTACAACACTATCAATATACATCATTACAAGTATCATAGAATTTACATGAATGGGGAACTCACCAGTAGCCTCCCTGACGACAGCGATGTCGGTGGGAGACCCCAGCCCTGAGCGGAGCAGGACGGCGGACACGATCTTGCGGTACAGACTCTCCAGCTCCTCCCGCGTGCGCGCCCGGCTGTCCGTGATGTCACGCACCACCGGCTGCAGACGCTGCTCCAACACACGACGGTGCTCCTCCAGGAAATCAGCTGCGAATTCAAGACAGGAACAAGTTTTAGGTTAAAACTTTTGATCCAACACAAAGAATTGTTCTCACCTATGCCTAGACCCTTTGACCAGTTACTCTGGTCTGCTGGACCCAGACTGAGGCAGTGAGAGTTGCCACGTGGCTTTGTACATGTAACTACCAACACAGATGAATATTCATGACAGTATAAGATAGAATCAAACTTTTCAAATTCTGAATTCTGTAGCTTTTCTTTAGGATAAACACTCAGGAACTATTCAGTTAATTTTACAATTTGTGCCTATAAACACTCAGGAACTAGGAACAATATGGTTCATTTTGTTTTACACATTGTGTCCACAAAAATTCAATCTTCACTTCCCATAGTTTTTCTGCCAGTATACTACTTCGTAACATGTTTCTGATGTTTATCTTATAGTGTTCACATTTTGTCCCTCCTTACCTCTGGTGGTGTAGTTCATGTCGAAGTAGACCTGCATCTTGACCGTGTCCAGTGCAGGGGAGCGGGTGTCCAGCAGTCGCTCCACACAGATCTGTAATCAGAGCAGAGACATTATTTTATTCTATTGGAATTGCAACATGTCTGCAGCCACCATGCATAAGCACCTGATTGATTGATTGATTAAACCGCAAGTTCACAATACAGTGGCCTGTCTAGGCAGCAATGGTTGATATTGGGGACATATAGCACAATGCGGCCGGAAGAGGGTTGATGACTCACCTTGATAAGTTTCTGCACATCATCCTTTGTTAACGTTCTGTCTACGTTAAATTCATTGTTTGGGTCCAAAACCACTGCCTTCACCTGAGGGAGAAAAAAAAGAGTACTCTGTCACAAAAGATCCAATGAAACCTCTGGAACTCTGTAAATAATTTCATCAGGTTGGTGAATGATTGAATCATAACCACTTGTTTAACAAGAGCCAACGTTTCAATGACCATACACATCTGTCATCTCCATCAGGGCAATTATGACTGGTTCACTTGTTCACTGTGCACTGGAGCTAGGTGTGTTTTATGCCGAGGGGTGGTTATACAGATACAGATACTGGTAGGTGTCATAATGAAAAAGAAACCACTACAAGGTATTACATGCTTATAAATTACTGTACAACATCAAAATATCATAACTTACCATAAAAGCCACCAGCGTTTCGGAGACGGCCTGTCCTTTACTGGCACACTCCTGGGCGATCTCTCGAATGATGTTCTTTATGACACTTTCTGCCTGCGCTCGAGACATGGTGTCTGTTCTTAACTGTAACACAAGCAAAAAACATTCAACGTATTGAAATGACTTGAAACAAATAGGAGTGAGTAGAAACAGGAAAACCCCCGACTGAGACCGGCACGCCGGGAATTGACCCCGCACCAAACCCAGGCAGCCAGCTTACAACACTAGCCTGACTGAACCTCGCTTTTCGCTTTTCCCTAGTAGTCCAGGTGGCGGACTACTAGTATGTAGGGAGCCCCCCGGAGCTTGGGTTTCACAGGCTACTTACAACACCGGCACGCTAACGACCCAAAAGGTCTGGACACATTTTAATGGAATGGACCAGTTAGCAGCACTCGAACCCCACTGTTACAGTATGTTGATGAAATTTAGACATTGAGGTAGAACATAGCGTATTACAAAATATCAGGTAACTTGATCAATAAGTTACTTTTCAGATTGCATTCACTTTTGATTGGTTGTCTTGTATTACATTCAACATATGGAAGAATTTTTGCTTGGAATAATATTATAATTTAGGCTACAGTACTGTATAAGACAACTAATACTAGTATACAGTCTTCAGCATTATCTTTTCTGTATATCAACAAAATTTCTATGAAAGTAACAAACTTCAGTCTCAGATTGTCAGCAAATTGCCATGATACAAAAATTCTTGGGGAGGGGGGCATATATATTTTGCAAGGAAAATCTGTGCATGCAACAACAACAACAAGAGGGTGAGATAGAAAATTTGCACATACGCCGCTGTGCAGCTTAGGGTATAATTGTTCTATATAATTTGTTAGTTCATAAATTTATGAAACGTGAAAGGTTTTCCCCACACGAGTTTTGCATCGAAGTTGTTTGTTGTGATTCCGGTCACGACGATTCGAGTGACGTTACTCGACATTACACAATTTTTACAGGAAAATTCTGGGCCAGAATTCGACCTCAAGTTATGCCCTTGATACACAGCACTATAAAAGTACAAAAATGACCCAGAAATACGAAAATCTCACCTAAAATCTGCGATTCCTTCTTGAAAACCCCGTCAGTGGCGGCTGTTTATGCGGCGGACATGGAAACTGATTTGCGGCGCTCTGATTGGTCCAACTTGACCCGTGACGTAGTTTTCATCTCGTCCCCAGAACTGTGTGGAAACAGCTCCGGGTACGAGCTGGGCTGACAACAGGTGGGCGGAACCATCACGAGAGTGGGCGTTCTTCCTTTGGGGGGAAAATTTTCGGGGAATCACCTAAAAATACAAATGGATCATTCTGTGACAACCCATGGGGGGACGTCTTCCAAGTCAAAGTCAAAGGGCGATGGAGTATTTACGAACAACAAAGGGACGTACTGCGAGATTAGAATCTTTATTAGGGCTTGGGCCCGTCGTACGATCAATCTGGTCTGATTGCAAACTGATGGCAAACAGGTAAAATCAAAAAGAGACCGAAATGAAAAGTATGACGAAACTAGATCATGGTGTAATGTCTATCTTAAAACGTTGTGAATCATATATATGTGGAAATAGCTTTGTTAGACCTGTAGTTGTAGAAGACAATACAAAAGTCCCTGTACTTTTTTGTTGTGTCAATAAAGAATCAGATGTTGCTGTGATATCACTGTGGTGATTTCAGACGATTTACGTTGTATAGCCTGGTCACCAAACCTAATACATGTATAGCTCTCGAGTAGTCCTACATCCTCTCTGCACTCTCCTCTCTAAGTTTGGTAACCAATCTAGCATATTTAGTGTCTTCCTACATGCACATAGCTGGTGTGTTACGCCGAAGGGCGGTTATACCGACTATACAGATACAGACATGTATTCCTGTACCGTAATGTACAGCACCCCTTGCTTATCAAGGCCATGAATGTCTGCTACTTCCCCCTTCGGCGTACTAGCTCGCTCCCCTGACAAGGTTTTCAATGACAGTCGCCAGTCAACTTTCAGGCACGTGCTCCGGGAGCGGAAGTGCCCTGCGTTACCCGGCTTTCATGCCCCTCGTATATAAAAGACACAGAGGGAACTGTAAGTTCTTCATATCCAGCAGAAACAAAGACAAAGCGAGACGTGTGGGCCGCTGTTCCAGGTACGAAAGAATCTATCTTCTCTTGTTGACTTTACTTTTTTAATGGTGCTTTAGTGTAGAGTGACTTACTTATTCTCCAATAATGGTATCAGTGGCGGCCGACTCCTAGAAGTATAGAAGGGTGTATACATATAAACCGTGGAAGTCTTATAAATGGCATTGTAAAGGCCGAGGTTACACAGCAGCAATTTTCGTAACACGTCGGACGAGTTTGTTAGCTCTACAATTCATAAAAAGGAGAACATTTTCGGCAGCAGTGCGGCCGATGTCGTCTCATCACTTCTGCATGCGCAGTTTTTTAGAGATCGGCCAATAATGTTCGCGGTAATTTGACATTTTAAGGCCAAAAATGTGCCCGACTCTCTGTCGAGTTTGAGATTAGGCGACCTTCTGACGACATCAACAAATTTCAGATGCACAGTGCGAGTCTAAGCTAGGTTTATATGCGTTGACTCTGAGTCTGACAATGTAGATATGCTATACTGTAGACTATAAACGGCCATAGCTAGAAAAACATCCCCTTTCAGTTCCATGTTATCATGTGTGTAGAAAACAGTTATGATTACCACATGAAACAACCGTGACTACGTATACAAGCTATTCCTTTCTGACTAGCTAGTAAACTAGGCAAATAAACCATCCATTTATTCAAATGTTTGTGCATAGATCATAGTAGAAAAATCTTGCTCACAAAAAGGTTGCGTTGATATCGAAAGATACAAATGAGAAAAAAAAAACACCAATGCTGCATTTGTAATGAATATGGCGCAATACGTTATAAATAGTAAATAATTACACTAAAGGCATACTTCCCGTAACATCTGCTTGGAGATGACACGCAAGTTCCTGTCTCACGTTTCGCACTACAGAGAAGTTGGACTTTGATACAGCGAAAGTGACTTAGTGACGTGCGGTATTCTGTTCCGCCGGCGATCCTTATTTGGGAAAACAGAACACACATCGTAACTTCCGCTCAGAGACAAACACGTACGAACCGGGAGAGTAGTGGGGATTCCCGAAGTTTTGTGCGTGGGTGTTATGCAGGGATTAGGTCACTTGTTGATGGTAGCCTCTACCAGGCTTCGAGAGGCGGCTGGAAAGAGTAGAAATTGGCCAAATAGAGAGATAACATTCCATGCAAGGGAGTTGGTCCGCTAGAGAGTACATTTGTGCGGGGAAAATGTACTCTCTAGCGGACCAACTCCCCTGGCATGTTTCCTCTCTATTTGGCCAATTTCTACTCTTTCCAGCCGCCTCCCGAAGCCTGGTAGAGGCTATGTTGGTGGGTCACGCAGGTGTGCGCTTGGCGTCCGGTTTTCGAAGAACCGTTCTCGAGCGAGACACACTTCTGGGTAGTTCACGTTCAGGTGGAAATAAGTCATTAGAAGTCTTTTGTATTTTTGTTCAGTAATAAAATCTGACTCAGACATCCGTCGGTGTATACGTACGTAGCTATATAAAAGCTGCAGATTCACTCCATAGTTCCTCCGCCCGGGTATTTCAAGATGAAACTTCCGTCGTACCTAGCGCGCTTGGGAGTCAATCAGGAGAAAAAGAAGACAGGGACGATGAGTAGTAAAAGGTTAGTGGTCATGGATTTGTTGTAGCCTCCACCATGCCTTCCTACGGGGATACGGGTCCTAGAATTCGGTAAAATACGGGAAATAGTTGGCCAGGAGAGTCAGTCCCCGAGAGGGTTAATTAAGTTCCCCTTCTAGTAACTGCGCGACCGGCCAAACCTTAAGGTGGCCAAACTCCCGGCCTGGCAAATATCCAGCGTAGTTAGTCTGGTACTGGTAGATACTTGTGTTGCTGTAGAGATTTCTACCATGGCCAAGCGTAAATGCGTAGCCTAATATACGTACGCTAGCCTATGTTTTTGCCAGCATATGACGTATGACACATTCGTGACCGACCCTATGTACTACAACTTACAAGTATCAAACGCTAGAATATTGCAGATGTCTACAGTTACCGGTCTGCATGGTGTATGTTACAGTATGTTTTGTAATTATGTGCAACGATCATTAACTTTTAATGATCTGGATTGAGAGAACGGCAGAGAAAGGAACTTAGGATACATGCCTTAATAGACGCGTGACATACACTTGATGACTTTAACTTATTAAAGACGTAATCGAAACAAGGAAACGGCTGACGGGAAGTGACTAATACTAGTACTGTCAACATTGTACACGTACATGTATGCCGCAAACACACATGTACAGCGCTCGACAGAAGCGTTGTTCCATAACTAAAGACAGTTGCGGAGGCGGGGGCCTTCCCGGACATTTGTCGACACGCCTTCTATCAAAGTTCACCTTAGACTTAGAGCTACATATGGCCTCCCGAACACTGCCGAACTCCCCACAACCATAGTAGTAATAGGAGTGGGTCGGGAGCAAGGTCGGTTGGTGTTCGCCGATCGAGGTAGGCCACTGTTCGGCTGCGTCAGTGAAGGTTAGACCACGGTGGTTAGACATTGTATCCAATGCAACTGTTGCGCAATAAACATATTGACATCCAGGTAATGAATATACGCCAAAAAAACATTTACTCAAGCAATAACAAAAGTGATTTTGGAAACAGTCAAGACGTTTCAGGTTGCACCCACTACCTTTTCGTCATTGACACTGGAGAGAATAGGTCTATTGTTAGAAAAGCAGAATTGTTTTTCTGCTCCAAAGCTGTGTGGGACTTTCAAAGCTGTGTTTCAAACAGTGTTCTCCAGTGTCAATGACGAAAGGTAGTAAGCGCAACCTGAAACGTATGTTTGTAAAATCATATCCAGTTGCTTGAGTGTTTTAAACAGTGTAGACGGAAGGTGAGGCCATGGTTGGATTATGGTTGGCTGGTGTTCGGGAGTAGGTCAGTGGTCGGTGCGAGGTTGGGAGTCAAATTTGACTCAAATCTAACTCCAGTTTGATTCGATTCGCATAGAAAGGTACGTAGGCGTGGCCTATAATTAGCTAAGGAAATCTGGTCAGACTGCTCCCGAACTTCAGCCACCCTTGGTTGGTTGGTGGTCGTGGGAAGGTTCTGTGTGACAGGGGCTTTACCCTCTCTGACTGAGCATGAGAGCCAAAAAGGAAGAAAGCTAAAAAGGCTGACACTCAGGCTATTTACCCTCAGCCTTTGTATGTGGTTAATCATATCTACAGCCAAGAACATTACATAGAACCTTGCTACAACGTTCAGGGCATTCAAACCATAACGTAAATTGCCTTTTCTGTCCCAGATCTGTAAAGAAACCCCAGAAGATGGCGATCCCGCGTGCAGTTATGGAGAGGTTCCTGGCGTCTAACTTCGAGGGGGATTACAAACCGGTCCCGCTCAACCACCAGGGCAAGTACCGGCTTCTCACCGTCATGGCGGAGGACAGATGTGTCCTCAGAAGGTCAGGGTCAGCAAACAATTTTACTACTAACGTTAGTACGAAACTCTCTACCACACGGGTTACAAGCAGTGTCATCACATGTGTAATATTTCGGGTTTGGTGGTAGTTTGATGGTCACATAATTATTTTACTCACATTTAGTGAGTTTACTCACAATAAACTACCTTTGGCTATGGAAGTATTCTTAAGGGTGTGTTTGTCTGTGGGTTTGTGTGTATGTTTGTCTGGAAAAAGTATCGTTCATTACACAGGTGGAGAAAATCGCCCAAGCTGCGCCCAGTCGGTCCTCTGGAGAGGTACTTCGTCAGCGCTGTGTTTAACGACAAGCTGAAGAAGCTGATCCACGAGCAGGGAGGCTACCACGGGCAGGGCGAGCACGTCGGGAGTCATGGGTTCAAAGGGGAGGTGGAGGTGGATTCGGTCGTGGACGGCATCAGCGATAGCGCTAGTGCCAGCAGCTTTAGCCGGCAGGAGTCGGACGAACTGGATGGCACGGGAGCCGGAATTCATAAAGAGGTACTGTTATATTGATAGTTATGTTTTATGGAAAAACTTTAGTACTGGTTTTGCTCTGTTTCTTCTTCCTCTTCTCCTCCAAACAAATATAAGGTCAATGGCCTGAACCAGGCATTTGTCACCATGGTAACTGGTGTTGAGTTACATGATGTTGCAATTTTATAGCAGGAGGGATTTAGACTCCTGTCACCATACATATGAATGTGTTTGAGTAAGAATTCACAGTGGGGAGTACTTCCTAATGTATGGACCCTGGGCACACACTCAGGAGTTTTTAATTAATAACTAGAAAAGTAACAGTTGCAAAGCAAATGCATAATGTTTACCTTCGGATATGGTCTGCTCTGTTAATTCTTACTCAAACACATTCATATGCACATGTATATGGTGACAGGAGCCTAAATGCCTTCTCTGAAATTGCAACATGATGTAACCCAACACCAGTTACTATGGTGACAGACGTCAACAAAAGAGGCCATTGGCCAGGTCAGAGGTTAGTGTTTGGAACAGAAGAAGAAGAAGAAATGGAGCAAAAACAATATGTTTTCCTTTGGTAAACATAAATATTGAAAGGAATGACTATAATAATAAAATGATTGCTTATTGGTGGTTAATAGATAGTTTCTTTGCATCTTCAGGTGGTGATACCTCCCATGAAGCTGGGTCGTGTGTGGCAGACGTGGATCGAGGAGGAGGATTTAGCAGACAGTATCAGGAACGTCAGGACTTCACTCACGGACAAGGACAAAAGGTGGGATTGGCAGCATTTTTGGCTACTTTTTAGTTTACGATAAATTGATATTATATTTTACTTTTAGTTAGCGTTTGTGCATCTGTCTGTTACCAAGATTCAACTCAAGTATGGCTGAATGGATTGGTTTTATATTTGGTGTGTTAGTGGGGTGTGACAAAAACTGGACTCCCTGGCAGCTTTTCTAGGTACTGCAGTGGATATAAGGCTGAACTGAAGTCTGTATGTCCTTTGCAATACAATTATTAGAATAGGGACAGACAAGAATATTTGTATCTGGGACTAGAACAGGCGAGATCTCCTGGGGTCAAATTTTACAGTTTTATGATCGTGGCACAGAAAATAGTAGTAAATGCACAAGTATTTTTTTTTTAAACTTTTGCAACTCCTTTATTTTTCTACAGGCTCTACCTGATCCATGACCTGTTCCACAGCCAGTGTTTCAAACTTCTGGACCAGTACGAGACTTCCATGGGCATAAACGGAGGAGTAAGTCACAATCTTTGTCCATCTATTCTCAGTCAAAAATCAGAATTTTAGACCTCCATGAAGTGTTATGGGTTTTCCTGAATGTAGCACATGTCTAACCCTAGGGAGACAGGGGAACAACAGACCAAGAACATTATACAGACTGTTAGGCCACACCAATTTAATTTGTTGGTTCTCGGATTCGCCTCTTCATTTTTTTCTGATTTGCAAAAAAAAAAAAAAGATTCTGGTTCTGAATCAACTCAAAAATGCTCATATTTTGCCCCCAACAGTTGAGAAAAGTCCTTTTTCTTCCTAGTTGTTGCAGTGTTTCCATCTATCAATGCAGTGGTTTGATTAAAAGTTCAAAATTCATTGTTTAAATATTAACACAACCTTTTGTGTTGACTTAATGGCTCCTATCGTAGCATTTGGGACTATAATAGGATGCCTAGACCTGTTTTTATTTTTATTTTTTTTCGCCCTGTCGCTTCATGTTTTTTCTGACAAAATCCGAGAACCAACAAATTAAATTGGTGTGGCCTTATCAGGTGTTATTGTGGCCATTAAAATAAAACAAACAGAATGATATTAATCATTTTGGCATTTTCCGCACAGGTTTCTGGCTTCTCAAAGCTCTTCAGTGCTACAGCCAAGGCCTCAAAGGAAAGCAAGTCTGCCACCATCCTGGAGAGGACAACTGAAGCACCCATTGCATTTGGCTGCGTTCGAGTTAAGGTAAGAATAATTACATGTAACTGCTAATGGGATCTGACTTTACTGGGTTAATAAAGAGTGCATCATCTATTAATCTGGTTATTTAGTGTCTCAAATAGTGATTGATAGTCAATAATATAAATTATGATGTTACAAATTAACATCGTAGTTATGTGAATGTTGCATTTAAAATGTTTTGTTGCACATCCCACAATTAGGTCCAAGAGGATGGATCCTTGAAGGTGGTGGGAACGAGCTCTGTGACCACGATCGTGGACCCAACCCGCGGACCCATACTGCGCCCACGAGGAGGGGACAGAGGTACATTCTCAACATCTGCTTGAAATTTTCCTACCACAATACAGGCAGCTACAATTAAGAATAACAGTTAAACTTGTCCAAGAAGGCTAGTCAAGTGAAAGAAAGGTAAAGTGGTCTTCTTGGACAGGTGGCCTTCTTAAGCAGGTCACTTGATGCTTGCACCTTTAAAAAAACTGTTGGGACCAGAAAAGGGTGGTTGTTATGGCCAGGGGAGTGGCATACAGAGGTGTCCACTTGGTCAGGTTTAGCCTGGTTACCAAACCTAATATACCGGTAGCTCCCCAGTCCTACATCATCTCTTTTTGTGGAGAGGATGTAGGACTCGGGAGCTACAATTAAGGTTGGTAACCAGGCTAGGTCAGGTTTGCCTGTATATCAGCACTTTCAAAAGAGAGATAACAATTATGAGAAGATATTTTTTCAAGGCTAGTGTTGTCTAAAACAGTCAAGCTGGTTTTTGGGAAAAGTCCTGACATTTTGACTGTCTTCCCACAGGAATGGTGAGGCACATGGAGCTAGGGAGGCTCGGCAGTGATTCTCCATCTCCTCCTGCAAGTGATGATGAAGACTGCCCACAAGTACAAGGTACAGTACTCCATCATACAGCCAAAAACTACCTGCTTGTTTGTGTATTGTCCCTTGAAGGAACCGGGACAATACAAACAAGTTGAATAAGTCACTGTCTACAATAGATACATGTGTCTAGGCCTGTCAGTACAGGAACTATTGATCCTAATGGGATGAGGAAGCCGAGGGTTGCATGAATAACCCTATACAGTTTCTGTGCAAGTGCCAATTCCAAGTATTCATAACAATCCCCTTGGTTTTAAAAACCCAAAGTATTCCCCTGAAGTCTGAAATCTCTGCTTTTTTGTTAGTAGATGTTCTACTGTCGGTTGAATATAATTCTGGTCCCAAATGCATGAAATAAGTAGACTGAGTGCCTTTTTAGCTTTCATCCGCTCCCCACAATCCACTTTCTGGCCGGTAGAGGATCATGGGGAGCGGACAAAAGCTAAAAAGGCTGACACTCAGGCTATGAATTAAGAATCGTAAGTCTGAAGTCTCTGATTTGTTGTTCCCCAGGATTTGTTCGTAGGAAAGACGTGCAGTCCCTGGGGACCAGGCAGGACCCCACCCTGCTGGACACCTTCAGCAGACTCCAGGCCCTGGCACCTGTACTGCTGGAGGCACAGACACCCGAGGATCTCGTCCCCCTGGTGGAAATTGTAAGTACTGCAGGTCATCAAGACATTGCCCATCTCAATGAGCAAGCTACTAACTGTCGAACAATGTGGCATAAACCTCTTCTTGCCAAGTTTTGATGTAATTAATACGAAGCTGAGACGAAGCCTAAAGTACAGCAACATAAAGGTTAACAATGCATGGAAACAACCATTAGAAACAAGACTTTGTACTGTCACACTGTATACATCAATAGGTTATAGGGGAGATATATAATATATATAACCTCCTTGTATACATGTATCACAATAACTGTAAAATCTATTCAATGCGTTTACTTTCCTGGTGGTCTTATTTTGCAGTATGAGCAAATTTTGCCATAGTTCAGAGTTAAAACAACTCTATTATACAATAGAAATACTGTAAAGCTAAGAGGCAACCACAAAAAAACTCGGAAGTAGAAATGAACTTACAGTTGTGTAAACTGTGTCACAAAATGACGCTAAATTTCTTTATGGACCATAATTTTTTTCCACAGCTGGACATTGCGCACTCAGGAGAGATCCCTGCCACAGAACTAGAAATGGTTCTGTCGTCTGACCAGCGGTTGTTGCTCGCGGAGTGCGGGATCAGGGTGGCGGACAGAGAGGGGAAGGAGTGCGCCCTGTACTTCACAACAAACAGCGAGCCCGATTTCCCGCAGACCGTGGCTAAGATCGAAAAGTACGGAGAACTCCTGGAGGATATTGTAGGTAAGTTGATGAAGATGATTTACTGGTTTATTATTATTTACAACACACATGCCATTGCAGCCTTACATGGCTGAATTGGGGTATGATACACATTAAAATTTATCAAGAATGGTTCAGCAACTCGACAATAAAAGGTAAAACACTATTCTTAAACCTAGACGTGCTGCAGCTAAACTGCGTGAAGTTGTCCGTTGATCTCAGATCTCTGCCATGTAGGCTTCCATGTTTAGGAGGTAGCCAACTAGAAAAGTTGTCATAATGGTTTATCCCCTGATCTGTTTAATCTCCAAGCTGATCTTTTGGTGGCTGCAAGACAGTGTCAAATTGGAAAGACAGTATCAAATTGGCTTTAGCCTAGCAGTATCAAATTGGCAAGATAGTATCAAATTGGCCTTAGCCTAGCAGTATCAAATTGGCAAGACAGCATCAAATTGGCCTGGTACATGTAGTATCAAATTGGCAACATAGTATCAAATTGGCATGGCAAACTCCATTTGGATGGCGAAAAAAAGATACCAGAACAAAAAAGAAAGCCCATTCAATAAAAAAAACTTTGTGTTACCTTCCTCTGACATCAGGGAGCCTGGTGCATAGAGGATAACCAGCCATTTTATTTCCACGTATTTGTAGCCAGACAGCTCTAATTCAACATGGAGCAAAAATGGCTCATTCAACATGACTCCAAAGTATGGTACTTGACATCAGAATTTAGCGTAAAGCGAAGCCAGCCAGCCAATTCAAACATAATCTATAGTAGCTGCCTTTCTGACTTTAGAATGTTGACAATAACATCACATGTGCTTTTGTTGTTACAGAAGAGGGAGAGAAAGTCTTGTTGGTTCTCAAAGATGTCTTGAGGGGAATGGAGGTGCAACAGCTGACAGAAGGAGTGGACAACATGGGTGTACACCAGTCTACAGCTCAATAGACACATCCAATGAGAAAATGGCTATTAGCAGTTCAACCTATTCGGCAGTGGCTGCATGTCTATAAAATATTTAACTTTTTACTAGTACATTTTTACATTTTATTTTGCATTTCTAAAATTTGAGGGGGGTTGGTGGGACTATGAGATTTAGAGACTTGGTTCCTTCTGACCGTAACACAAGATAAGGACATGTAAAAAGTACAACAGACACAACTTCAACTAGTAACAATACACTCATATATATTTGTAAGTTTGTGAAACAATGATGATGGTATTACATAGGTTAATCTGCTGTCAGCACATTTCATGTAGAAATATGTAAGTTGAAAAAATGATTGCAGTAGTGAAATGTGCCAACATTGTTAGAGATGTCCTGCATTTAAATTAAATATTTGTTGTTATAGAAGAAAAGAAAATATTTGTATATCAGCTCTTCTTTCCCGTCTTGTCCTTGCTGTCTGCTTTCTCCTTTGGTTTTGCTGACCTGGCAAATTGCTGGCAAAGTGGTCAAGGAAGATAAATTGTAATAAATACCAAATCATTAACATAATAGTTGAGGCTGATTCATGCACTTGCTTGTAACAAATTCTGAAGTAATCTGAACTAAAAGTAAAAATGTTTATACACTATTAGTGAGAAGGCACTGTATATAGACTCGATATAGTATAGATTTCTGAATTGCAAAAAGGCTAACCATGTTTAAAATCAAAATCTAGTCATTTCTAAGTCATAGTCAGGATAAGTGTTTTAAACCATATTGTGTTATTTTTAATAATGCGTATTCATGTTAGTAAGTTGTAACTTTGGAACATCTACTATATTGATGTTATGTCTTTACATTCATTCAGCCACACATGTGGCTGAAAACTGTGGACAGTTTTCAAGTTGACAATAAACCATTATGAATTTCTAAATATATGTGTCTTTTCCCTAAACTGGAAGTGAACAACAATCCAACCAACCATGCAATGGCAGCCATTCTAGAGAAAACTTTACCCACCCAAGTGAACTACATGTACAAACAAAAATAGGATACCAAAAAGAAAAATTTGCCTTACTTGCCCGCACACACTAGTTGGGGGTCTTCAGAGGATGTCATCCATAAGATTAAGTCAGTGTGGCCTTACAATAAGGAACTTTGAAGACATGTTTTCTTGTGTATGTTTCCCTGAGTTTCCACACAACTTAAAACAACTAAAAATTCAACCAAAAAGACAATGACACCCATTCTAGAAAAAACTTTACCCATCAAAGTGAACAACAAACTGAAAAAGGATGACAACCTATGGCTGTCCTGTTTTAGTTTAGAATCTGATGTTGATTGTACAGAGTGTGTTTGTTTGAATTGATTTTCAATCTACCCTTTGTAAAATCGGCACACACATAATTCAGGGTTGTGTTAGCCAATCCCTGCTTTTGTATGATTTGTGTCAAATTGAATTGAATAAATTGAAATTAAAAAGGATACCACGACGAGGGGTTTGCCGTTCAGCTCAAACCCGTTAGTCTCCCTGACGGCTTTCTGCGCCGCCTTCTCCGTTGGAAGTCCGATGAACGCCTGACCCTTCATCCGACCTTCCTTCATCAACCTGACGTCAAACCTGAAAAATTCAAATCAACCAATGACAACTTTGCATTTGCAATGTATTTACTTGTAGTGCAGTTAACTGAATATTCTGAATTTAAAGTTAGCTTTGTTACCAAACCTACCTTAGCTGCCAAGTCTCTTTTGGGGAGAACAAAAGCTTGTAAGCTAAAATAGGTTTGACAACCAGGCTGAATTTAAGGTAGATTTTGGAAAATAATAATAATAATTGTTTATTGATTGATCGATGAGTACAATCTCTAGCATGTGGCAGTGCAACTAAAAAAGTAGCGCTGAATTGTATGCTAGTGTTTAAAAACAGAGAAACAAATATTGCACAGTTAACAAATAGACAACTAAACGAGTATTTCACAGTTAACATATAGGGAACTTAATAAGTGCGTAAAATGAGCTTAACAATATTCACAATATCAACCAATAAGTTATCAATATCATCAGTGTAAACAATGATAAGACTTACAGAAAGACAGTGAAAATAAGATAAGACTTACATTTCTTTCTCAATGTCATCTTCAAAGTTGACATATCTGCCATAGATGAATCTCAAGTCCTGCAAACAAAGTACAATAAACTCAGTTCCTATATTGAAGTTTGTGGTTGGAACAACTCTATAGTATACTTGTACTTATCATGAAAGTTCATCTGTGTTGGTAGTAATCATAGTAAAACGTTAAACTTTATTCCAACACACTATTTACAGGGAAAGTATTTACACTTAATAGAGATGGTGGACGATATAAACTCCCTGGCACTTTTGATCAATTGCTTACGTCACGTATCAGTAAAGTCTCGTGTGAATAAGGTCACGTGTTTGTAAACCGTAACTCTCGTGACATCACGATGTGAAGTGATTGGTCATTAATTGTCCTGATGAAGGCGACAGTGGTCACTGAAAATTTGATCCCTGTAAATAGTGTGTTGGAATAAAGTTTAACGTTTTACTATACTTGTACTTGTGATACAAAACACCTTTTCACAAGTTTTCTATTTAACAAATGAACTGGTGCAATGTTTTTCAGAGTTAACTGATGTACATGTACCCACCTTCTCCTCTGTTTGTTTTGCAACATTCTTGATGTACAGGCGACAGTTGGGCTCCCCTGCCAAATAGTTCTTGAACACGGAAAGCTTTCTTATTTCTGTGTAGATGAGAAAAGAACTGGGATTAACAACTTTGTACAATGTATCTATAATATAAATAAAAAATTTCATAAGTCAATATGTTATCATATGTCTTATTCATGATATGAATTGTTGGGCCTGGGAGCCTTCTATTTAGCCTGCGTGCCATCCAATTTGTAACGGCTACCCCAAAAAGATTTTTCAGGGTTGCCGTTTCAAATTGGATGGCACCTAGGCTAAACAGAAGGCTCCCAGGCCCAACAATTCATATCATGAATAAGACATATGATAACATATTGTTTCATATAAATAAAACAAAATTTCATACGTGGATATATTTTCATATTTCTTACTCATGATATAAACAGATGGCACCCAGGCTAATAAATTGTGCTTCTCTTAAATTATCCATAAAGTCTAACCCTCAGAAGACGGGGAACAACAGACGATAAACCGGACAGTGAGTGAGTGAGTGAAAGAGTACTACTAGTCTAGAAGTAAAGTTGTATTTAAAGGAGTACTAAAGGGCAGACGGGAGTGCTATTTTCCGACAGCAATTTTTTTAAAGTAAAAAATGCATATTCCTTAACAGTATACGATAAGGCTTGTAGCTAGAACTTTGCAACCTTGCTATAAACCAATGATTAGCCAGGACTGTTACAATCCAGGCTATTGTTTACATTAGCACATGATAAAAAAAAAAAAGGCACCCAGTAATAACGTAAGTATTAAAACGCATCAAATCCAGGACAAACTGGTTTAGCAGTGTAGTTCATACACATTCTGCCAGAGGGCACTCACCGTCATGCGAGAGCCTGCCCCTCCTCAGCTCCCTGCTGGAGATGAAGTCTGTGCTCTCATCCTCCAGCTCTTCTTCCTCTTCTGTTTCCATGGCAATGGGCGGGGGCTCAAACTTGCCGAAACCAGACATTTCTGGAGTATCCTGACTGGGTGTATCTTCTTCTGCTGTTCCTTCTTGATCATCTGCCACTAGAATCATACATACCGAGTCTTTAGTATTTTAATCATGTCTTTAGTAAATTCGTCACCATGCATGAACATGTACAATAAAGCTTTAAGTATGCACAAGTATAATAAAGAATTAGAGGCACACGTTTACTTCATTTAGTGTTTACAATAGTTGTCACACAAATACAAAGGATACTGGGTAACATCACTAACTATAAGCTACAACATGTACTTCACAACATATAACCCAAGTACATAGAAAGGGGCAGGTTAGTTGCAGGAAGACATCAGAAATACCTGTACAGCTCCAGGGCTGGAAATACCACCTGCATTTGCAGGTTAGTGCAGGTAAAATTGGAGCTGTGCGGGTATTTCTGATGTCTACCTGCACCTAACCTGCACTGGTCCATGTACTGGGTATATGCAGGTTAGTGCAAGTAAAATTGGAGCTGTACAGGTATTTCTGATGTCTACCTGCAACTAACCTGCCCCTTTCTAACCTGCATATACAGATGGTATTTCCATCCCTGTGTTTACATATCAGTACATTTAAATAAATGTTGTCCCTTTACCTTCCTCCACTTGTCTCTCGGCCTCGATCGCTGACGGCAGGTTCAGCTCGATCCTCTTCACCCCCACCCCCTGGGGCTGATCAAATACCTCCTCGGGGGCCGGGGCAGGCTGCGTGGGGGGCGGGGGTGCACCAGGGGGGTGAGGGCCTGCAGTCTGGGTCTCTTGTGGGGTCGCTTCTTTCTCTGCTGTGCCGGTCTCTTCAGGCCTGTAGTTTGTGCTTGGCCGGGGATCCTGAAAAAAATTGATGATAAATATTGTGGATTTCAGTTGTTTTTTTTATTTAGATAAAGAACAAAGAACAAGCACATACATGATGGCACACTTAAGTTCAAGAATTTATATCAATGCCACTAACATTACCGATAACAACTGAAATATAAAAGAATCAATTTACAAAGAATACTTATACAGGACACAGACAACCTATGTTGTCAACTCTACTTCATCCTTGGCTCCTATAATTTCCTTTCCTTTCGCAGTTCAGTCTCAGAAGACTGAAGTGCCAAAGGAAAGGAAAGGAAAGGAAAGGGAAGGGATGGGAAGAGATGGGAAGGGAAGGGAAGGCTCCTATAATTATCACTACAATAATCATGAGATTCCAATACTTTGCTAACTATTTTCAGAGATGACAAAAGAGACTCAATCTAAAAGGGGCTTGCAAAAGAGAGACAGTAGTAGTACAGCAGAAGGCTGATTCACCACTCACCCTGTCTGTGTTTCCTCGTCACTCTCCAGCTCAGACTCACTCTCACTCATCTCCTCCTCAGCCAGGTTATCATCTATTACATACTGCAGCTCTGTGGGCTAAAGGGAACAGTAGACTGTGTTACACAAGCTCTCGCTATCTGTATCTATACAGCCAGTTTAACTGTCCCTCGGTGTAACACACAAGCTTCACAGGCAGCTGGCTACATTACACGACTTGTTACATCTAACCTTTGAACATCTAACATTGTTTAAAGCTATCTTGTGACGATGCCCTAATTGTATTTGGTGGAAGTGAGTTCCACTCAAAGATAGTTAACGTTATAGGGAAAAAAAATTAGTTTTAGAACATCCGGAAGGATATCAAGGAGTGTGGTCTGTCCAGTACAGACCCACAGGACAGAGCTAGCTGGAGGCGTGGTGTCCAGAACAGCCGACTGCTGCCCACCCCTGGGACAGGGAAACCGGCAGCAGTATAATCTAAACACGGATAGTGAGTGAGTGTGAGTGAGTGACACCTCAAGCCTTGATTGATAACTCTGAATACTTGAAGGCATGATTATTTCTTGCTATCAGGGGCTGACTGGGCCCCCTGATCAAGCCGAACCAGTGCCCACCCCTAGTATTTATTACCATGCACAAGGATCAATGTTTGATCTTATACTAACTATGAAAGCTACATCTAGAACTATATAGCACTTACTAGTGGAGGTTGTTGAGTAAGGGGTCCAAATGGGGCAGGAAGGTTCATCTTATTCATTAAATGTAGCACCTGGGAAGGGATCAATGAAGAAAAAAATGTCTCAAGTCATCCACAATTGATACATGTTGTATAGGAATACATGACTTGTACAATTTTTAAGTCCATTGATTTCGAATAATGAAGTAAGTTTGGTTGGTTTTAAATGCAAGAAAACAAGGCAGATGTCATACACTGACCTGGACATAGAGTTTGGGTACAGCTGCCAGGGTGTTGGCAATGTTGTTAAGTATGGAGGCTGTGGGAGGGGGATACAGGTAGTTCAGTCTGGGGTTCATCGCATACTGCAGCCTGCAAAAAAAACACATTCAAGAATATCAGATCACCACATGAGAACCTTGTTTTATTTCATCACCACAAATCATCAACTTGAAAGTTTTACATCAAAAGGAAAAATACATTTCTTGATGTTTCTTTTGTATGAAGCGAATTCAGAAACAAAAGCGTGCATCATCTTTCTACCTCATCTTTCTACCTTTTAAGTTAGTTTCTGCTGATGCTGTCCAATTTTTTACTCACCCCAGGGAGGAAGAAATGGCAGTCTGGGGAAGTGCTCGTCTTTGGTTGATTTCTGCTGACTTCTTGTCAGCTGTGTTATCAGTAGACTTGTTGTCTTTCTCCTCTTTGACTGTTGTTTCTTCATTGTCCTTTATGATATGTGTACATCAACAAATATCAAGCATTTTAGTGATTAAAATTCCACTGGTAAAGGTAAAATAGGATAGGAAAGCATGCATGCAGAACATGCAGATTGTTTTTTTCAAGCTTTGATCTTATTGGCCAATGGTAGATGTAATTAAATCATATCTTCCCACTTTGCACTGATTTGATTGGATAAATGTCATCACTACCTGGTATTGACCTGATTGGAAGACAGTCATGTGATCATGACCTGGTGTCACTCTGATTGGATAAAAGTTATGTGACCATCACCTGGCATTGATCCGATTGGTTGAGAGTAATGTGATGACAACCTGTACCTACCTGATCTGATTGGACAATGGTCATCTGTTTCTTGTGGTGTTTCTTGGCAAATTCTACCACCAGCCTTCTGCCGAGAACTTCCAACTGGTGCAATCTAGTCAGAGCCTGGTGAAAGACAAAAAAAGATGTTCAGTGCTATCATGAAAGTTTATCTGTATTGGTGGTTACATGTTGTTCAAACACAAAAGAGAAATACTCATAGGAAATTCAAACTCTACTACTGGATAAATTACGGAGATAATATCTGGATGTTTCAAGTGACATCCACCACTCTTCTTCAGCGTCACTAATGAACTAACAGAACTCGATAAACCATATATGAGCAACAAAAGAGAAATGTTTTCACCTAGAGCTTACGACCTAACCCAGTGTTGATGTTACACTTTTGAGAAGCCACGTGACAAGTCTCACTGGGTCTGTCTGTTGAAGAAGACCGGAGTGACTGGTCGAAAGCTCTAGGTGAGAACCTACATCTATATTGTTTTGCTAGCTATAGGTTTTTTTTAGAACTTGTAAATTCTTTAAGAAGTTCTGGTTCACTGTTTTATGTTGTGTTGTTGAACTGTCTGTCACATAGTCTTTGAAATTGAAAACAAGAATGTTCATACCCAGACAATTTTCTCTGTGTTCATCACTTTAAAACACAAACCTTTTCAGCTGAATGGTGATCCGTGAATGTTGCTAAGGCAGTATGTTTCTGTGATGGGGGAAAAAAAAACAAGTACAGTACTGACATTTAATCTTGTTTGACGTAACATCAAGTAAGGAGTGACGATACTAGGTGGGTCCGGGGGCATGCTCCTACAAAAAATTTTGAAATCTTGACCCTCTGAAATGCTATTTCTTGCATTTTGAGTGGCACATTTTGCTGGCAGACTAAGCTTAGTTTAATGACATATGTTTCCATATCTTTACATGCGAATTCTTATCCATAAAAATGACAGATTGGGCAAATTTTGATAGCCTGGTTACCAAAACGATTATAGCTCCCGAGTTTTACCGCCTATTTGCAGAGAGGATGTAGGACTCGGGAGCTATAATATTAATAGGTTTGGTAACCAGTCAAAAATTTCGAGCCCTGCTATAGCAAATTTCATGCAGATGAAAGCCAGTTTTCTCACCATCCTGCCCTTGTCTGACATACACTTGACGCTCTCGGCACCAAAGTGTTTCAGCAGGCCCTCCCTGTCTGCAATACTCAGCTCAGCAGATAGGTGGCGTACTATGAGCGTGTTCGATGTCTCCTCATCAGGACCCATGTTTATGATGCTTGATATTGAATCCCTATAAATTAATGCAAAAGTCAGAAAAATCAGCTTCCCAGGAAGTAACATCCGTGTCCATAATATCACCTGGGTCCATAATATTGCCACCTTGAGAAAAAGTGTGCGTGCATACCTAGGGTATGTTGCAGTAAAATATCTTAAAG